TCTTGGAGCATCTTTTAGCGAGCTGACAGGGATGCCTACACCACCACATATGCATGCCCCAGGTCCTTCTACAGCAGCTCCCATCGCCATGACTACTCAGAAGCTCCCTTCTTCTGTTGCATCTTCAGATCCTACGATAGACACACCAGCAGCATCACAGGCAGCACCTGCCCCAGCTCAGACCCAGACCGCTTCAGAGATGCTCCCAGCCACAGAGGGTCAGTCAGCACAGAGCTCAGGGTCAGATGATGATGGCGCCCAGTTCCAGCTTGCTCCTCGTACTTCAGCGCCCGACTCGTCCGCTGCAGCCCCGCCGACCGACCCTTAGGTTTTGGTGTTTGACGCCAAAGGGGGAGAGGGTTCGAGTATGTAGACTCAGGGGGAGCGACTTATTTATGGGGAGCTTAGTTGTCTATTAGCTTATTATCTATTACATTTGGAGTTTCTATGTGTGTGATACATTATGCATTGATATATTATGCATCCATGTTTACTATTATATCTATGTGATAGTGATATCTACGTGATTGTGATATATGACATGTGTGCTCTCTACTTTGAATTCCTTTATATGTCATATCACTTATGTTATGCTCATTTGCTTTTGCTTCTGCGTTCTACTCCAATGCAAATGAGCTTCATTACTTGTACTCATGCTTATTTCATATCTTTTGAGTACATCGAATTGGCTTGCGTCATATAAGCTTGCCTAACTCTTTTGTTCTTATTGACAAAAGCTTATATGAAACAAGCATGTCAAAAACCTCACTCTTTCACATACTCGAGGTGGTATTATCATCAATCACTAAAAAGGGGGAGATTGAAAGCATGTAGGCCCCTAGTTGGGTTTCGGTGATTAATGATAATACAAGATTACTATGACTAACGTGTGTTTTGCAGAGGCAATTAAGTTAGGTCATGGTAATGGAGATCGATTGGGCAATTATGGATGTCATGCCCCTACGATGGAAATCATTTCGGTTTTCAAAGGATGGACGACAAGATTAAGGATGACTAGTTCTAAGTGTCAATTGGAGTTGGAGAGACACTTGAAGTAGTTTAGGACTTTGTTTTTCCTTTGGCCATACTATTAAGGGGGGTATGGATGGGTAGCTTGACCTAGGTGAGTCTAGTGAGTTAGGTGTGGTGCACACTTGCTAAATCTAGAACTAGGTAGCTCTAAAATAGCCCTTAGATCCAATGGAGCAAACTTCATTCATATATGATCGAGAGTTGGAAGTGAATGGAGGGTCAAATATTGATCGGACGCTGGCTCCGGTGTGACCGGACGCTAGCCGCAGGGTCCGGTCAGTTCATTTGACCAAGGAGATTGCGTCTGGCGCGACCGGACGCTGAGTGGTCGAGTGACCAGACGCTGAGGACTAGCGTCCGGTCAACTCCAGTAAGGTTCTAGAAAAGGGATTCTACGACCGGACGCGTCTGGTCAGTACTGACCGGACCCTGAGGGTTCAGCGTCCGATCGAGTACAGTAAGGCTCCAGTGAGGGATATTTGCGACCGGACGCGTCTGGTCAGTGGTGATCGGACCCTGCCAGCGTCCGGTCATCACTTAATCACTAGTGTACGGGTTGAACTGACCGGAGCGTCCGGTCAACATGACTGGAGCGTCCGGTCACCCCACAGAGGCACATAACGGTTCGTTTTTCAGGCTGACTTATAAATAGAAGCTCCACTCGTGTGTGGAGCCACTTTTTCTCATTTCAACAGCTGAAACACACCTTAGAGAGTGCCAAGAAGAGCAAGGTCCTAGTGAGGTGATTGAGATTTGAGAATCCCAAAGAGAGCCCTTATTAGTGAGATCAAGAGTAGAAAAGTGTGCATCCACCCTTCTCCCTAGGCTTGTCGTGGTCAAGTGAGAGTTCGTGCTTGTTACTCTTGGTGATCGCCATCACCTAGATGGCTTGGTGGTGATTGGAGAGCTTGGTGATCATCCGGAGAGCTTGTGGATGACCCAACTCAAGTTGTGAGCGGTTGTGGGTGATTCACCGCGACGGAGTGTCAAAGAATCAACCCGTAGTGAGCACTTGATCCTTGCGCGGATCAAGGGGGAGCTACACCCTTGCGCGGGTGCTCCAACGAGGACTACTGGGGAGTGGCGACTCTCCGATACCTCGGCAAAACATCGCCGCGTTTCTTCTCCTCTCTTTACTTTGAGCATTTACTTTGAGCATTTCAATTCTTGTCATTTACATTCCTAGAATTGTCATGCTAGAGTAGGATTGGAACTAGGTTGCTAAACTTTTGTGCGTTAGATCAATAGAAACACTTCTCTAGGCACAAGGGGTTAATTGGGCTAACCATAGGACTTGTTTATTGCAAAGAAATTTAGAATTAGCCCAATTCACCCCCCCCCTCTTGGGCATCTTGATCCTTTCAAAGTACTAAAACTTTGCTTAAGGGAGCACTGCCATGCAAACACTCTATGCTATAGTTCAACTTAGGTCAAACATACAACATGAAAATGGTGAGTTACACAATAACCTTGACTTAGAGGCCAAATTGGTCCAAGTCATGAATACCAAAGTTGTTCCATATGACATTCTAAACATGTTTAAGGTACTCCTAGGGTCCCACAAACATTTTACACATTGGTTACATGTAAACCCTAGCATATGTAAGGCATTTTAGTGACAACACATGCAATATAAGCAAACATAGAGATAATATTTGAGATGCTCATGCTCATGAATGATCAATGATTCTTGTGCTCATGCAATGCCAAGGCTAAATGCGTGCTTAACACCTAGGGTGTTACAAGCCCCAATGGGTAGATCATTTGCTTGCCCTCGTACGTGTTCTCAAGCAACTCATTCAAGCTTGGAACAAACTTTTGCAGGAGGGATAAGACATCGTTGAACCCAATGTCCGACATTCCATTCCTTGCTTTCATCTCCAAAAGCAAAATATTAGTTTCCAACTTTGTCAGTTGAACCTTTGTACAACGGAGTTCTTGAATGCTTCCTCATCTCCTCACACTTCTTTTGATTTTTTCATCAAGGAAATCTGGCTTCCCAACATGAATCATCTGGTCTAGAGAATCTACGACTTCAACATTTGCCAAACTATTTTTCCCCGAGACAATGATGGTTTCTTCAACACCTTCATTCACGGTCTCTAGGACTGTCTCATTCTCATTCACATGCCCTATTTCGCCTACATTTATATCCCTCCTGCACTTCCATATGGAGGAACCCACTTAAGCTTGTTCGTCAAGTGGGTTCTCGCCTTCTTCCCCATGTTTCGTCCAAACCATATCGTTTGTCATGAAAACCCTTGGAAGCAAATGACCCCTGATCCGCTCCATGCTATCCCACTGCTTATGATTTTTGCAATCCTTGCATGGGCAGTTTATGAAACCAAGAGCCCTATATCCTTTGGGGCGAATTGCTTGGATTATACGAAAGCTTGATAACTGGTTTGTCATATGTCGCTCGACAATTACAATGACCCTGAAGAGAAGGTGCGGATGGCACTCTCCTTAGGGCCCACGACTAATATAGGTTGGTCGAATGGTCAACACCTGTGATAGTCAGGCGGATACGGAAACAAACCCCTCGCAGGTATAGCCACCGAGCGATCCTGGAGGGGTCGGTCGGGGGTCTTTCTCCCAGGGACTTGGCATACCCCTATGTTTGACTCTCGTCACCTGGCTTGGTATATCACTCTATCCCTTGAAATTTACCTTCCTCGTATACTTGTGTAGTGATTGCTTGTTTACCTTGCTAGTAGTGGCAGCTAGTAGTTGTTTCTAGTTGTACTAGTTTCCTAGCTTGCTCTCTAGCTAGTTTGTTAGTTGATAATTTGTTTTCTTGAGTGAAAACATTTCCTAGCTTGCTCTCTAGCTTAGTTGGTTAGTTGCTACTTTGTTTTATGTGAAAACAACCTAGAGATCATAGCAATTAACATGTGGTAGGTGACTTGCTTTTGGTGAAGTAGAGCTAAAGCAAAACCGCATAATTACCATCTTGTTATCTAAGTTTGCTCTAGTGCTTTATAGAATTTTTATTGGGCTATTCACCCCTCTAACCATTTAGGACCCTCAGTGGATTATTTTCAAGACCACCATGTCATATAGAATAAAATGAAATATAGATAAAACACGCAATCTCAATAAAAAATTTTATTTTATAGTTTCATAGGGATTTAATTTTCTAACTCTAGAGTTTCATCTAAATAAACTCATTTCTTCTTTTCTTAAATACATTGGCATGTCTTCAGAATTGCCTATGTGGCAATCTATTTAATGCAGATAAAACTTTTATAAAACTACCGCTGAGACTGGCCTTCGCAGTGGACCAAAAGCAGTGAACGAAATGTAAAAAAAAGCAATAGTCGTAAATGGCATTCGATCTCTTGTCAATGTTGGGCACCGTGTTTACAAGACATACGATGTCTTTTTACAAATTACACAGTTCTTGCACTCCTCGAGGCATATTTTGAGCACATTCGGGGGCAAACTTGTCCTCAGCCCTTTGCGAAACGCCTCCTGGTCAGGGTGCGCCATCAAGGACCTTCGGCGAGGTTAAGCCGTTGTTTCTGCAGCCACCGTACACGATGTCGACGAAAGAGAGGGGTGGTCCAAATGTACCATCCCCAACACGGTGTGAACGTGAGTACAAGAGACTAGCAGCTTTGTTATGTCCCATACGCCAATTAGCTATTATAAGTGCAAACAGGAATCCCAGCTGTTAGCTGTCGAGTCCCAAGCACTGGAAAACGGCTACCTGAAGAGCTCTGGAAATCCAAACAATCGAAGAGCAGTGTCGAAGACCTCGCCAACCCTGTGAATAGGCATGGAACGACAAAGCGTTCACAGGAGCACGATTGCACAGGTGTGACCCTGCGAAATCCATGTGTGTTTCTGTGTGCATTGCTATGATGAGACATCCATGAAAGTTCTTGCAGGTATTGCCCTGGAGTGGCACCTGAGTTACAATGCAAAACTGAACCGACTCCCTGTACCCACCAAACCAGTTCTAATCAGAAAGTCATCTTCTGCCTCATCCATTTCGTCGCAGACCATTTCTCTCCTTTCAGAACAGGGCACCCGCTGTGGATACTGTTTGGGTCTGTATTACCATCCAATCCCTGAAACAAGCCCCCCAGGCCAAAAGAACACCATTAAGAAAGCAATTGAGCTGACTCAAGTTTAATAAAGATCTACATTCTGATCAGGATATCAAACTAGAGAGAATTAACTCACCATGCTCCAAAAGAGAACAGCGTCCCCTTTGTTTGGCTTAACACACAATCCTTTGACCACGTTTCCTCCACAGCTGCACTCTCCATCTCCTGCCTGGGACAGAGATAACAGCCGCCGAAGTATCAGGTTCCACAAATGGCATGGAATGTACAGTATATGATTTGATAACAAGTTAACTTGATAAAGTATCAGCTAACCTGCAGAAAGTGAGTTTCACCACCTTCAACACCATCTGTCAAATACATAAGCATTGTAGCAACACGCTGCCCTCCACGCTTCAGGTTAAACTAAAGGCGTACAAATCATATTGAGTTGTGCAATTGATAACGAGGACGATCAGGTCAATTGTAAATCTAGAAGCCTGAGACTTGCCTTAGAGATGTTCAACTTACAGTGTCAGAAAAGTAATCATGATGTGGTCTATAATACTGACTAGCTTCATACCTGCAATTATTAAAGTTAGCTCACAAAAATAGTCAAGTAAAAAAAAATACAGAATTACTGTCTTAATTTCATCAAGTACCTCAATACTTGAATGAGCTCCCCATTTTCTTTAGGTATTTGAGAGAACACAGATATTCGCTTCTCTATAGCCTACACAAGGGAAAGCAAGTGTTCACAGAACAACAGTCTTCAATAGAGCTGCTAAGGTAAAATTGTAGTGTTTAGGACTTGGATCTAGTTCTGTGATACAGGTTAGATATCCAAACTATTGCCACTAATAGATGGTGAACAAGATAGCACACAACATAAAAACAGAATTAAACACAATAAACATATTTTGAATACATGATATTGTAATAATCAATAATTCAGGAGCCATGGAAACTGCTGGACTTGAATGCACTAATACAATGCTGAACTAAGCTTTGCATCATGCATATGATAAGATATAAGATACAGAGTTACAGGCACATCATTAAATCAGATGTGTCTTGAACACTATATCTATATGATATGCAATTACTATGCTCAGGAGCAACATGCATTTAAATAAAAATATATCATAAGTAATTTTTGAGAGTGCCCCTGTTGTATCTTCACATAACAGAAGATTAGGATATAAACTGATCAGTTGTGTATAATAGTATCATGATTGCTTCTAGTAAGGTGCATTAATACCTTATTAGTGCCAAGCTAGCATAGTAGCGATTAAGATTAGCTTGTTAGATTGTTTAGGCTTTGCATGACTTTGTTAGCTGGTTGTTAGGATTGGGCTATAGCCTATAAGGCACAAACATTTGGTTAATCAAAGGGTTCGCTGGACGTTCCCTGCCTCGACGCCGAGCACGGCGTCGCAGCCTCGCTACCGCCACGACCAGCTCCACCGCTCCACCACCGGCCACCACCATTCCGCCCGCCACCACCATGCAGATCATCACCACGAGACCCCCAATGACCACGGTGCCTGCATTTGCCCTTAAAGCTCTCACGATGGCAATCTACGGGTTGCAGCGCCAAATGGGGGCATTGCATCGTTGCCGCCATCGGCCCTGGTCATGATCGTCCACACGACGGCTCAAGGCCAACCGTCGTTGCGCTCCACGCCGATGCCCATCCATCAGATTCCATTTCTGCACTCACCTTCACCCATTCCCTCCATGGCATTGGCGATGCACATGCCACCCCCACTGTCTTACGAGGTGGCTGATCCGGCATGTGCGGGTGTCTCACGATTCCACAAGCTCTCCTTCCCAACATTTGATGGCAAAGATGATCCGCTAGGTTGGTTGAATCGCTGCGAGCAGTTCTTCCGTGGACAAAGTGTGGCTGGCTTCGTTCCACATAACCGGGAGTGCTCAACAATGATACTAAGTCCTGGAGCACGATGTTGGTGCCCCGGAGTGGGACGATTTCAAGGTGTTGTGCCATCAACGCTTTGGGCTGCCGCTCCGCACAAATCACTTGGCGGATCTTGTGCAGCTTCCGTTTGGCTCCTCCGTCGACACCTCCAAGAGGCCTTCCAAGAACGAATGGCTCATGGTGGCCGCCAGACACCATACTAGCAGGCCCAACTCTTCACCGGGGGTCTGCTGGACCATATCCACATCGACGTGGAGCTCCACAAGCTCTCCTTCCCAACATTTGATGGCAAAGATGATCCGCTAGGTTGGTTGAATCGCTGCGAGTTCTTCCGTGGACAAAGTGTGGTTGGCTTCGTTCCACATAACCGGGAGTGCTCAACAATGATACTAAGGCCTGGAGCACGATGTTGGTGCCCCGGAGAGGGACGATTTCAAGGTGTTGTGCCATCAACGCTTTGGGCTGCCGCTCCGAACAAATCACTTGGCGGATCTTGTGTGGCTTCCGTTTGGCTCCTCCGTCGACACCTCCAAGAGGCCTTCCAAGAACAAATGGCTCATGGTGGCCGCCTGACGCCATACCAGTAGGCCCAACTCTTCACCGGGGGTCTGCTGGACCATATCCACATCGACGTGGAGCTCCACAATCTACAAGATCTCCAGCGCACCATGAGCTTGGCCCGCGCATTTGAACGGCGTAATGCGCCCTCTGCTTCCGCCGCTGCTCATGGTGAATGCCCGCAACGTCCTCCGGCGCGCCAGGGCATCCATCTAGCGCCTCTTCTACTTGGTGGTGACAGACTTTGATGACGACGCTGCATCAAATCCAGAGGACACTGAGACACCGGTCATGTCCCTCCACGCCATTGCCAGCATTCGTACAGAAGACATGATGCAGTTACGCCTCTCCGTCAGCAATCAAGAGTCCGTCGTCCTCTTGGACTCCGGGAAGACCCACAACTTTGTCAGTAGCACCGTGGCACGCTGCACAGCCCTGCAGTTCCACTCCAGCGAAGGCGCCCACGTGGTAGTGGCCAATGGTGATCGCGTGGATTGCCACGGCCTCGCTCGCGACGTCTCCATACGCATCAACAACAAGGACTTCACCGTGGACTGCTACGATATCCCACTCGACTGCTACGACATGGTCCTCGGCGTCTCCTTCCTACGCATGATGGGACCCATCCTCTGGGACTTTGACGACTTATGCCTAGCTTTCTGGCGCCAAGGCCGCCGCATCGTCTCACGCAGCGTCTGGCTCACCACAGAGCAATGTCATACCTCCCACCCGCCTCCACTTTGTATGCGGCGCCGAACCCACCATGTTGGAGAGCCTACTCGTGTCCTTTGGCGACGTCTTCACTGCACCGTCCGGCCTTCATCCAGCGCGGCCCTGTGTCCATCACGGTCACCTTCCCAACACGACGCCGATGGTGGTCCGACCATCCCGCTAGCCCCAGCTCGAAAAGGATGAGTTGGAGGCCCAATGCGCCAGCATGCTGGAAAAGGGGGTCATCTGCCACAGCACGTCCCCGTTCTCAAGACCGGTCCTGCTCGTCAAAAAGCCCAATGCCTCCAAGCGCTTCTACGTAGATTATCGTGCCCTTAATGAGCGCACGATCAAGGACAAATTTCCAATCCTAGTGGTGGAAGAGCCCATCGACGAATTTCACGGCGCACGCTTCTTCACCTAGTTTGACTTGCGCGCCAACTACCATCAAGTGCGAGCGCATCCCGATAACGTCGAGAAGGCAGCCTTCCGCACGCATCACGGCCACTTTGAATTTGTGGTGCAATCGTTCAGCCTCACCAACGCGTCGGCGACATTCCAAAGCTTGATGAACACCGTCCTCCGATCGTTTCTACGTGTGTTTTGGTCTTCTTCGATGACATCCTAATTTATAGTTTGTCGTGGTCAGAACACCTGCAGCATCTTTGCATCGTCCTCGATATACTTCGCGCCAACCAGCTACGTGGGAAGCGCTCCAAGTGCACTTTCGCCACATCCTCGGTGGCCAACATGGGCCACATCATTTCGACAGCCTATATCGCCATGAACGGCAACAAAGTGGAAGCAGTCGCTACCTGGCCACAGCCGCGATCCGCGCTCACCTTCCTCGGCTTGACGGGATACAATCGCCGCTTCATACAAGACTTCAAGACGATGGAGACCGTCACGCGGCTCCTAAAGAAAGACAGCTACCAGTTGACGGACGCGGCCACAACGGCATTCCTGGCGCTAAAGGAGGCCCTTTCCACTGCCCTCATCCTTCACCTGTCGAACTTCGCCAAGCCCTTCACCGTCGACTGCGACGTGTCAGGCACCGACTTTGGCGCCGTTCTTTACCAGGGCACCGGGCCCCTCACCTCTTCACCTGAAGGTGGCGGCCTATGAGCGTGAACTCATTGGCTTGGTCCAAGCCATTCGCCATTGACGGACGTACCTCCAGGGCTGGCCCTTCATCGTTCGCACCAACCACTTTGCGCTAAAATTCATGCTCGACCAACATCTCTCCATGGTACCACAAGACTAGTGGATTAGCTAGCTCTTCGGATTTGATTTCACCGTGGAATACCAGCCAGGGCGCTTGAACACTGTGGCAAACGATCTCCAGGCGCGACACCGAGGAGCTTCACTTGGCAGCCTTGTCTAGGCACTCGTTCCAGCACTTTGTCGACCTCCGTGCGGAGCTCGAGGCAGACTCGATGCTTCAGACGCTCCACGACAGCATCAACATGTCGCGTGGGCTCCAGTGGCACGTTGAGGATGGCTTGATCCTACGGGGGTCTCGCATCTTCATTTCGCCCCGGTCCGCTCTGCTCCAGATGATGCTCTGGCAGGCACACACCGCCAGCCACGAAGAGATTCAAAAAACCCTTTAGTGTCTCCGCGCCGACTTCGCCATCGACAACGACCGCGCACTCATGTGCGACTTCATGCGCGCCTGCACCGTCTGCCAGTGCAACAAGACGGCATCGCTCCACCCAGCGGGACTTCTACAAGTGTTGTACATTCCCTCAGCATGTTTGGGCTGACATCTCGATTGATTTCATGGAAGGGCTACCGAAGGTAGACGCGAAGAGTGTCATCTTGACGGTGGTCGACCGCTTCTCGAAGTATGCTCCCTTCATCGCCTTGGGCCACCCCTACACGACACCATCCATCGCCCGGGCGTTTCGTCAACGACATTGTGCACCTCCATGGGTTCCCCACGTCCATCGTCTGGAACAGCGACCCCATGTTCACAGGAAATGTCTGGAGGGACCACCTCAAGTGTGTCAGCGTCAAGCTCGGGATGAGCACCGCCTTCCACCCCCAGACGGAAGGCCAATCTGAGGCCATCAACAAGACCATCACCATGTACCTCCGCTACATCACCGGCAACCGCTCGCACGCTGGGCAAGATTGGCTTCCCTGGGCTGAGCAATGCTATAACACGTTTTTCCACTTGGCGCTCTGCGTGTCCCCGTTTAAAGTGGTGTATGTGCGGGCCCCCTCCTGTGCTGCTTCCGTACACAGCCAACCCGGCGCGGACGCCCATGGTGGACAATCTCTTGCACGATCGCGACACCTTCCTCGCCGACGTTTGCAAACGACGACAACAAGCTCAAGCCTACACCAAGCAGCACTATGACAACCACCATTGCAAACCGGAGTTTGACATCGGCGATTGGGTCTGGCTCAGTCTCCTTCCATCATCGACCAGTCCAGTCCCTGGTACCCGACACTTGGGGCAAGATGGGGCCTAAGTACGCCTAGTCGTTCCAGGTGCTTGAGCGCGTGGGTGCCATCGCCTACAGCATACAGCTGCCTACATCGAGGTCATGAAACCGTTCCATGGGACTCCGCCAACTGCTCCACCACCACTGCCTCCAATGCAGCATGGGTGCTCTCTTTAGGTGCCGCCACATGCCCGCTGCGTCCAACTCCATTAGAGCGTGTGGCACATGCTGATCTAGTGGGCAGGCCAGCCAACAGCCAAGGCCATCTGGGAGCCGATCGAAGCATTCTGCATCCATCCCTCGTTCCAGCTCGAGGATGAGCTGTTTGTCGAGGGAGGGAGAGATGTTATGGTGGGCACGGTGTATTAGAGAAAAAGCACAGCCATGGCTAAGCCGTCGCACGGCGTGGGCCAGGACGTGCCCAGCGTGCGGTCACCACGAGGTGACCAGCGGCCTCCAACTTCTCAGGAAGGGATTAAGATTAGTTTGTTAGATTGTGTAGGCTTTGTATGAGTTTGTGAGCTGGTATTTAGGATTGTTGGGCTATAAGGCACAAACATTTGGTTAATGAAAGGGTTAGCTAGAGATCGAGTTCCATCTCTCCCGCTCCTCTGCTCTTGCGCGCACGTACCTCGCACTCCTACTTCCTACGCAATAGCTCAAGTTCCTCCAACATGCACTCTTCTGTGTCACTGTCGTAGAATGATAACTAATAGGGAACGAGAAACAGAAAAGATTAAAAACCAGGTGCAACACAAAGGAATGTCTTAATCTTATAAAAGTTCATTGTCACAGCACAAGGAGATCAAGGGGACATTAGTTGAGTATTTATAGATCAAAGAAGTATTTCATATTTACAAACCTAGAATAAAGTATGGAAAAATGACCTGAATGACTGGAGATTTTCTTTCTTCAGAATTCACAAACATACCAGAACTCGTCCGAACATCACTTTTTACACCCTGGAGAACATAGGACCAGTGACATCATAAATACAGAAAACACAAGAAATGCATGACTAGCCTGGATTTTCAGATACCCACAGCTACAAAGAATAAATCTAATGGGGCACAGATTCCCAAAAATACTTGCAGCCTAATCATTGATGTTTTCTGAATCATAAAAATGCCATACAGAAGAACATGTTAAAAATAAGATCTAGAGAACCTGCTTTCTGTCTTCAAAAAACAGTACATGATAGCATGGCTCTACTTATGTGGGCCAAAAATTGAAGAAGCATATATCAAGCTTGTTCTAAGAAAATGAAGACATATCTTGTTATAATATTTCTTATTAATACATACTTGCACAATAAAGGAGAGGTAGTTAAACGATAAAACCAAAAGGGCGCCTAGCTCAAATGGTTAGGTGGCCCAGCGGCACTCCTCAGGTCCTGGGTTCAACTCCCCGTGGGAGCGAATTTCAGGCTGAGGTTAAAAAAATCCCCTCGTCCGTCCCCATAACCAAAGCACTGGGGGGGCACCGGCCCAATTCTCACTTGGGCGACATAAAGCCACCGCCGTGTAAGGGTGGGGGCGGGGGTTAGGGGGTTTTCTCGGCCGGGTGAGAAGGTCCTTCTTATTTGTAATGCTGCGGGGGCAGTCTTAACCCCCCCCGGTCAAGTTTTTTTTATAAAACCAAAAGTTTGCCAAATAACCCACTACAATGAAAAATTCTTAAACTAAAAATAAAATACATAGTGCTAGGATCAGAGTTCCTACCGGAATTACTGCCGAGGTTGTAGGGATGGAAGGGGGGAGGACGAGGTTTAGGCAGGTGGCGGCGAGTTGACGCCATGGTGGTCATGGCGCCGGCGGCGAGGAAGAGAGTCAAGAGGGCTTCAGAGGAAGCCTAGCAACAAAATCGTTGCTTTACTTAATTCCTTCAATCACTGTTTACAGGATATTTATCCTCCTTAAACAGCCATCTATGAGATCCTATATTTAAGGAATAAATATTCTATTTGAAGAAATAGCAAATCAAAGGGATAATTTGGGCTATTAGCCCCCTAACGGCTAGCGCCACCTTAGCCACTCATGGGCCGGCGCGTGGAGTAGTGGACGCCGGTCATAACATCTCTCCCTGCCTCCGCAAACAGCTCATCCTCAAGCTAAAAAACGGTGTAGAGGTCCTTGAACGCTTGGAGCGGCTCCCAGGTAGCGTCGTCGCTGGACATGCCGTGCCACTGGATGAGGGCATGTCAGGCACCTCGCCGAAGTTGGGCGCGGATGGCACGCTCGAGCGCTGGTAGAAGACGGCCGTCCAGTGTGGGCGGCAGTGGTGCTGGTGCGGCCGGAGGGTCACCGCAGTGGGGCTTGAGCAGTCCCACATGGAAGACATCATGGAGGCGAGCGCCTTCCAGCAGCTGGAGTCGATAGGCGACGTGGCCGATACGTCCAGCACCTGGAACAGATCGGCGTAGCAGGGGCCAAGCTTCCCTTTGTCCCGAGGTTCGAGTGACTGCGCCGTGCGGTGAAGAAGGCACAACCACACCCAATCCCCCACATTGAACTCCAAGTCGTGGTGGGAGGCGTCGTAGTACTTCTTGGACAGCTGCTGGGCTTGAAGAAGGCGCTTGTAGGCTTCAACGAGGAAGTCATCGCACTCGCGGAGGAGGGCGTCGACCTTGCAGTCCCGGCCGTGTACGGCAGCAGGGGCAGGGGCGGCCGACCATAGACCACCTCGAACGGAGTGGTGCACAGGACGGAGTGGAACAACGTGTTGTAGCAATACTCCGCCCATGGCAGCCAATCGATCCATGCACGGGGCCACGCAGCGTAGGTACATGGCGAGCACCTTGTTCACCACTTCGGACTGGCCATACGTCTACAGGTGGAAGGTCGTGCTCATGCGCAAGGTGATGCCGGCCATCTTGAAGAGGTCGTGCCACACGTGGCCCGTGAAGACCGGGTCAGTTGCTGACGATGGAGGAGGGAAAACCGTGCAGACGAACAATTCCCTCGAAGAAGGCAAGGGTGACGGACGCGGCAGTGTAGGGGTGGCTGAGGGGGATGAGGTGAGCATATTTGGAGAAGCGATCGACCACCGTGAGGATGATGGATTTGCCATGGACTTTGGGCAGGCCCTCGACGAAGTTCATTGAGATGTCGGCCCACACCTGGGATGGTACGTCGAGGGGCTGGAGCAAACCCGCCGGCTGTAAGGCCTCGGTCTTGTTCCGCTGGCAGGTGCTGCAGGCACGCACAAAGTCCTGCACCAGGGCGCGGTCATCGGGGATGAAGAAGTCACCCCGAAGGCAATGTAGCGTCTTCTGAACGCCTCATGGTCGGCTGCGTGAGCCACGGCAAGGACCTGGTGGCGCAGCTCCCCGTGCGCTGCGATGTAAATGCGCGACTGTAAGTGCAATGAAGCCCTAAGTGGGTTTTGGTGATGTTGACGACATAATTAAAGGACTACTGGCTTCTCTAAGTGTTTGACAGCTTATCATTAGTCATGGATGCAAAGAAATAAAGGAGACCCCCCCCCAACTCAAAAGAATAGCGTTCTAAGGCTCAAGGATCAAAGTTTAATTTATTTTATATTTTGAAATTGAGGTATAGGACAAGCCGTACTATCAAGGGGATACTAATAGTTTGTTGGGTGGAACCAAGTACTCAAAACTCCATCTACATATCAAATTATCCCAGCCACAAAAAGCCAACCAAGCTAAACTCTTATCCTTGATGGCCTGCGCGGAACCTCCACATGTATATGTGGAGGCTCCGAGCCCTGTCTGGGCCGACCGTTTTATGGGTGTTGAGGGAGGTATTTATACCTTCTCCTCTCACCCCCAACAGTCATCTTCTACCTCACTCATTTTCGAACTGAAGCTCTCTCTGTCTCCAAGTTTGATGTTCCCAACTCCCTTGCTCAAATCTTGGTGACTCCTTGAGGTATTTGCCATTAGAGAGTGTGAGAAAGCTCGAGAAGATCCTTCTCCATTCTTGTGCACTTGCTGAAGCCCTAGCCGCTTGGTGTGTTCATTACTCTTGGAGCTTGGCTCCTAGATGGCTAGGAGTCACCCGGGAGTTCCCAATCCTTTATGGCTGAGCAGCGGGACGTTTGTATTGCTCTTTGTGACTTAGTGGAACCCTCTAACCTATTGCCTTGGTGATAGGTTGGAGAAGAGGAGCGATTTGAAAGAGACTCCATAGCCTTCGTGGCTAACCTCAACAACGTGGACGTAGACAAGCCTTCGTGGCGAGTTGAACCACGGGATAAATCCTCATGTCTCTTGTGATTGTGGTTGTTGTTGCTATTACTTGTGATTTGAATTGATTTCTAGGGTTTCGTCTCGATCTACGATTTCCCCAACAACTAGGTGCAACCACTGGTTTGGAGAGGTCAACATACTCCCCAGGAAGGCTGGTTTCACATTAGATCTGATTTCCATTCGTTATATTCCACAGAAGATCGAATTTGTACTCTGATCCCGGAGGCTCCGTGGCCCGGAACATCCACGTAAATTCCTGGAGGTTCCGCAATCTAACAGTTTGCTCGAAGTTTGTTAAATTTCAGAAAAAGGCCAATTCACCCCCACCTTCTAGGCCACTTGCTAGATCCTTTCAACGACCCATGAAGCAGGAGGCCCACTGTTGCGCGCTAGGGCTCGCCGAGCTCGCCATCCTGGAGCAGCTGGAGGAGGCGGTGGTTGTCCGCGACGGTCGCGGTGGCGACACGGATGTCGTCGAGGAAGTGGAACGAGGGCGAGAGGGCGTTCGCCAAAGCCTCGGAGTCACGGCAGGACAGAGCGTCAACCACCGTGTTCAACTGCCCTGGGCAATATTCCACGGCGAAGTCGAAGCCGAACAGCTTGCTGATCCACTAATGTTGCTGCACGGTGGAGGTGCTGGTCGAGCAAGAACTTCAGGCTGATGTGATCGGTGCGCACGAGGAAGCAGCGACCCCACAAGTACGGGCGCGAATGGCCAGCTGAAGAAAGCGAGGGGTCCCCTGTCTTGATGGAGGACGGCGCCGAACCCCACGCCGGACGCGTCACAGTCGACGATGAACGGCTTGTCGAAGATGGGCATTTGGAGAACCAACCTCGTGGACAAGGGGCGCTTCAGCGCCTAGAACGCGGCCTCGGCCTCCTCTGACCAGGAGAAGGCGTCTTTTTGCAAGAGCCGGGTGAGGGGTGCCACAATGGTGCCGAAGTTGAGGATGAACTTGCGGTAGTAGCCAACGAGTCCGAGAAATCCGCGCAGACCGCGCACCGAGCACGGTGTTGGCCATGAAGCGACGGCATCCACCATGTTGTCCATGGCGACGCCGTTCGCGGAGATGACGTGGCCAAGGTAAGCGACCCAAGGAGCACTTCGATCGCTTGAGGTGGAACTAGTGCGCCCGGAGCGCGTCGAGCACAAGGTGGACGTGTTGTAGATGTTCAGCCCACAACGAGCCGTAGATCAATATGTCATCGAAAAATACAAGGACGAACCTGCGCAAGAACGGGTAGAGCACGTCGTTCATGAGCACCTGGAAGGTGGCCGGCGCGTTGGAGAGGCCGAACGGCATCACGAGGAACTCGAAGTGGCCGTGATGCGTGTGGAACGCCGTCTTCTCAACGTCCGCCGGGTGCATCACACCTGGTGGTAGCCCGAGCGGAGGTCGAGCTTGGTGAAGAATCGTGCGCCATGGAGCTCATCGAGGAGCTCATCAACCACCGGGATCGGGAACTTGTACTTCAACGTCTTGTCGTTGAGGGCGTGGTAGTCAATGCAGAAACGCCAGGTATTATCGTCCTTCCGCACCAAGAGGACAGGGGCAGAGAATGTCGATGTGCTCGGCCGAATAATGCCCTGGGTGAGCATGGCGTTGCACTGGCGCTCAAGCTCGTCCCTTTGGAGCTGCGGGTAGCGATAGGGCCGAACCTTGACCAGTGCGGTCCCCGGCAGCAAGTGGATGCGGTGGTCGTAGGGCCGTGCCAAGGGTAGGCCACGCAGCTCCTTGAACACGTCGACGACCTGGTGCAGCAGGTGATCCAGTAGCGGGTGGGCGGGTGCCGCAGCAACCGCGCGGGCCGCTGGCTCTTGAATGTCGTCGCGGGAGAGCAGATGCCCTTCCAGAGGATGCACCACGATCCCCGCATGAAGGCCATGCACAGGTCCTCAAAGTCCCAAAGGATGGGACCCAGCGTGCGAAGGAAGTCGACACCGACGATGACATTGAAACAGCCGAGCTTTGATGCCAAAACAGCCGATGGAGAATTCCTCGGTGCCGATGCCATGGCGACATTGCGGGTGACCCCTTCACAAGAGACACGATTGCCATTAGCCACCGCGATGAGCATGGTGGGGTAGGCGGATGTAGACAACTAAAGCTGGCGCATAACCCCGCCATTGATGAAGTTGTGCGTAGAGCCGGGTCGAGGAGCGCGAGGAGATGGTGGCCGTGGATGTAGACATGTAAGTACATCGTGTCCTCCGTGCGTATGCCGCAATGGCATGGAGGAAGACGACTGGCGGCGGTGCGGCGTTGACAACCATTGCGGGGTCGGCTGTCTCCTCTGGGAACGCATCAAGAGCCACAACCACCACGGGCACATCGTCGTCGAGATAGTCGGCCAACTCTGGAGACCGCAGAAATAGGGCTCATCGCAATTGTTGCAGAGCCCATGGCGGCGGCGCTCCAGCTCCACCGGCGTGAGGCGACGGAAGGGACGAGCTAGAGCCGGTAGAGCACCAGGAGTGGTCGAGCCCCCGGCTGGATGAGGCGGCACCGAGAGGCCCAGGCGCTGCGGTGGCCTAGCGACGCGCTGAACCGGAGTCGGCGTCATGGCCACAGCGCGACGCTCGAAGGCTCACGCGAGGTGCATGGCCGTTTGAAGATCCTGGGGCTCGCGCAGCTCCACGTCGACCTTGATGTGCTCCGAAAGGCCGCCCACAAACAGCTCTGCTTTCTGGAGCGGCGACAGGTTGCGGGCATGGCACAGCACCATATTGAAGTGGTCGGAGTACACCAGGACCCTAGTCAAGAAGGGAAGTCGGGCGAGCTCAGACAGGTGGGTGCCACGAACCGCCGGCCCAAAGCGAAGATTGCAGAGCTCCTTGAAGTGCTCCCGGCTAGGCATGCCCTCGTCTTGTTCCAGCGCATAATACCAAGTCTGGGCCGCGCCGACCAGATGGTAGGAGGCGATCCAGACGCAGTCCGAAGCGAGGGTGCGCTGGCCCCGGAAAAACTACTCACAATGGTTGAGCCAGTTCAGGGGATCCTCGGAGCCGTCGTAGGTGGAGAACTCGAGCTTGTAGAATCGAGGAGGGGCCATGCCCGGCCCTGTGTCGGGGGCAGACGGCTCCGGAACACCAAGGTACGGCGACGCGTCGGGGCGTGGATCGCTGAACAGGTATTGGGGGATGACGCCATATATGAATTAGCCATCCACACCCATCCCGTGGGAGGACCCTGTGCCCTATAAGTAGTGGTGGCTCGGCCCACCGAGGATGGGGGCGCCGCCATTGGCGGCCACTGTGGAGACCGTTCCGGTGCTTAAGACTGGAGCGCCCGCAGTGGTGAACGCGGGGGCGGCCGCCGAAGCCATGGCGTAGGAGGGGATCAGTGATTGAGAAGAGGGCATGCGGATTTGGTGGGTGGGTAGTGGGGCGGAGGCGGACGGAAGGGTGGCGGGCGAATCATCCGGCATCGACAGGGCCGTCGTGCCGTAACCCGGTAATCTATAGGGGAAGATCAGTGGAAGGGTGGCAGCGGGTGATGGTGGCAGCGGTGGTTTAGACTCGATGTGGGTAAGGCGGGCGGAGAGATCAACGACGGTGCGTGCCAGGTTCGAGATGGCCTTGGCCACAGGATCGGGCACGGACGCAGAGGCCGTAGTCGGCGGCGCAGAAGTGGTCGACAACAACGAAGTGGGTGGAACGGTGCCCGTGATGAAACCTGACATAGCCGATACCAGATTGATAGGATCAGAGATCCTTCCAGAATTACTACGGAGGTTGTAGGGATGTAAAAGGGGAGGACGAGGCTTAGGCAAGCGGCGACGAGTAGGCGCCGTGGTGGTCACGGTGCCAGCGGCGAGGAAGAGAGTCGAGAGGGTTTCAGAGGAAGCCTAGCAACAAAATCGTTGCTTTGCTTAATTCCTTCAATCACTATTTACAGGATATTTATCCTCCCTAAACAATCATCTATGTCCTATATTTAATGAATAAAAATTCTATTTGAAGAAATAGCAAATCAAAGGGATAATTTGGGCTATTAGGCCCCTAACGGCTGGCGGCACCTTAGCCACTCGTGGGTTGGCGACTGGAGTAGTGGACGCCGGTCATAACACAGTCAATATTGAAAGGTGTTAGGTTTAGTCTCACATAGGAAATTGAGGGTGAAGGAGTACAACATATAAGCTGGGGGCAGCCCTCGCCTATCAGTTTGGGTTGAGTGAGGCCTCAGGCCTAGGTATGTTGTGGGCTACGGTGGACTTGTGGCACCGGCTCCATTAAGTTAGGCCCGAGGCCTTGGTATGTTGTGGGCTATTGTGGACAAGGCCTATTGTGGCCCTAGCTTTTGTGCATAGCCATGGTTCTAAAAAACCAAATTTAACTTACGTTTCCTCTCTGTTAAACCTGAAAACGGACCCCGGTGTCAAGTCTAAGGCCTAGGCGTCCAATAAAACTCTGGACACGTCTAGGCGGTGTGCGTATGTGTAAGGCAGTGCTTAAGCGGTGTAGAAACGCGAAAAAGCGGCAGCCTGACTGGCTTAGTGGGCTATGTGTGACCGGCTGGCCGGGAAAGAAAGGACACAGAAGCGCCAGACGTGCAGGGATCAAAATTGCAAGTCCCTTCACCAATGCTTTGCAAGTTTGCAAGAAATTGGAATCAAAATTGCCTGAATGTGTTACAATTTCTTCTAAGATCGAAGTTGGGCATCTAATGAGCAATATGTGTTGCTGGAAAAATAAATAAAAAATCACAAACGCTTATGTCCCCTTTGGTTGGGCTTTTCAACCTACCTTGGCTTCCCCAAAAGCCAAAAGCCAACCAAAGGGGTTGGCTACCACCCTAAGCCACAGCCAAAAGCATATTTCACCATCCCCTGCTTTTACCAACTTTTCGTGAAAATTACCCACCTACCATTGGTTATGTAGATACCGGTTCGTTCTTTTCCCCTTCTTTCCTGTCCACGACGTCTTCTCCTCCACAACGTCGCGACTTCCATCCGCACTGCCCAGCGACCTCGCCGGCGTCCCGCTCCACTGCCGCCCATCAACGCGAGCTCTACCTGCCGCCCCCACGCCTCAGCTCCGCGACCAGCTGACGCCCCCATGCCTCCACGCAGCCCCAAGCCAACCCCTGCTGGAGGTCATGGTGGTGTGGTCAGCCCCGACAGGCGGGCGCGGCCACCTCCGTCGGGTGAGCGGTGCCATCCCCCTGGTTTATTGTCCATGACATGTGGGGTCCGCTCTTAAGTGAGAGAAGCTTTTCCACAAGCAACCGCTGTTCAACCAAACGGCTTCCAGACACCTCACAGCCCACGACCCACAACAGCTTTTCAACAGCCCACAACCTCACAGCTACTTTTTCCAAAAGCCACCGCTCAACCAAACGAACCCTTAATCATGTTTAATCTATGTTTAGTCCATCTAGGCGCTAGGAAGTGGCTTAGCGCCTAGGGTCTTTTGGAACCTAGCGAGCTAGGCTGGATCTGTTGCGCACTCTAACAAAAGCCAAAAGCAAGATGTAAGAATTAGAACCCAACCAACATACCTTTCCAGTTGCAACATCCACTACAGTGGACATTTGCAGTCTTGGTCTAGCAATTGCCATTAGGTAATCACACTCCTGCAAAGATTAAATTTATACCAGAAGAACCAAACATAAAAAAAATTAGCACCCAAATACAAAGTAATATGCATTTTGCTAAACATTTGGTGCCTTGGTTACGAACAACAAAGGAATGGACTTGAAGTCATAAGATAATACCTGTATAAATAGGTGAAAAGCTATTACATTACAAAGTATTTTTTAAAAAAACAGACTGAGAGGAAAGAAATCATGCACAGAAGAATGGAAACTGAAGTATGTCATGCTGCCAATGTGATTTAGAGTTCTGACTGTTACGTATTGTATGGTTAGGCATCAATTATGCAGAGTGCCATTGTGTCAAGGCCGTCGAACAACCTCAGAAGAAAACAGCTAAAATTAAGGCCTAGATAGGCCACGCTAACAAACTGACCGCATAGGCGCGGTGACCCCCGCGCACTACGGCGCAGGTGGCGCGGCGTTCGCATCCCTGGGCACAGGTCTGGCGCGTGTAGTGGTGGCCCCACATGACATCTCTCCCACCTCGACGAGCAGCTCATCCTCGAGCTGGAAGGATGGATGGCGCTCGATGAAGCTGTCGACGTCCTCCCAAGTCAACGACCCAACGCGGGCTCGCCCTTCCACTGGATGAGGACCTGGCGAACACCGCGGACAAGGCTGGCACGGACGGCGCATTCTGGTTCGGTGACAGCGGCGCTGCTGTGGATGACCGACAGAGGCGGGGGTGCATCGGGCGGGTGCCGATGAACTTCTTGAGGAGGCCCACATGGAAGACGTCATGGAGACGGGCACGAGCAGGCAGGGCGAGACGCAGGCAATGTCGTTGATCAGCTCAGTGATGCGGTACGGGCCGTAGAAGCGGGGCTTGAACGTCCCTTTGCTCGCGGTTGGCAGGGAGGCACGGGCGTGGTGGCGGAGACGCAGCCAGACCCACTCACCGACGGTGTAGGAGACGACACGGTGAAGCTTGTCGTAGTGGCGCTTCGGCCCTATCCGCCATGTTCTTGGCCACCGCAACGACCCGCATCTCGCCGGCCTCGTAGGAGCGAACAGATGGAGGATCGTGCCCATAAACCACCCGGAAAGGAGTGTCCTGCAGCGAGGACGGGTAGGCGGTGTTGTAAACGTACTCCGCCTAGGGAAGCCACCAGAGCCACTGTCGAGGCTGGTCACCGGCGAAACAGCACAAGTACATGACGATGACACGGTTGGCCACCTCCGTCTGGCCGTCGGACTGGGGATGGAACGTTGTTGTCATGTGCAGCTTAGCGCCCATGAGGCGCATGAGCTCCCACCAAAAAGAGGTGAAGACGGGGCCGCGGTCAGAGACCATGGCCTGGGGCACACCGTGTAGACAGACGACATCGGTGAAGAATGCTTGCGCCACTGATTCCATCGTGTAGGGGTGAGCTAACAGAATGAAGTGGCAATACTTAATGAAGCGGTCCACCACCGTCAATATCACCGATTTGCCCCCAACGCGAGGCAAAGCTCCGATGAAGTCAAGGCCGATGTCAGCCCTATTAGGCTTATTGTACAGCTAGCGTTCTGTCTATTTATAGCTAGCGTATTGTACGCACTGTACATGTACATGGCTCTATATATATGAAGTGTGGTGATTATCCACAATGGGAGTGTGGTGATTCTCCCAAACTTCTCTACCTTTCTACATGGTATCTTTCGCCTTGGTTCTCTTCCTGCTCTCTCCGGCCCCTTCCTCTTCTCTGACTCTCTTCCGCACCGCCGCGCGCTTCTTCCCCACGCTGCCGTTCTATAGCTGTGCGCTTTCTCCTTCCCCGGAACCCTCCTGGTGCGCACTTTCCCGGCGACGCACCCACGCGCTTCCTGCCCTCCCGCGCACGCGTGGCCCAGGACATGACCCAGCTTTCCATCCCACATCGGCTGCATCCCGCGCGGGCTGCATCCCACGCCCGCGCGCTCCCTCTCCCCTTCCCTCCGCCCCGCACGCGGACCAAGCCCGCGCGATCTCGCGCTTCAGCGTCGCGCGCTTCCTCCCCTCTCCCCTCCGCTCGTTCTCCTATGCATGACCCGCACCTCGCGCGCGCTCCTCCCTTCCTCATGCAGTCGTGCATGCATAGCTTTTGCATCTTGCTTCCGCATGCAGTTGTACGAGCATATCCTTTCCTTCTTGCTTCCGCATGCAACCGTGAGCGCATAGCCTTTCCTTTACTTGTTCTGCAGCGCTTACCGATCGAGCGCGCAACCCAGCCGCTCACGCCCGCGCAGACCCGATTGCCCGCACCCAGCGGCGCGTACGCCCGTGTGCACGATTCTTCTTCCCCGCGTCGCACGCGCTCTCTCGGCCACACACATCACCCGCTCGCAGCCCTACCACCGCGCGCACCTCCCTTCTGTGCGGCCCCGACCTCTTCTCCCTCCCTGTGCGTGGACCCCGCTTCCCATGCGCCTCCACTCACCCACCGCACGATCTACTCCACGCACTGCGTGCGCCTTCACGGACACTGCACGTGCTAGCCCCTCCCCTTTTCTTCCCCAGCCAGCGGCCTCGGCAACACGCCCACCGCTGCCACCTTCAACCTTCCACTGTCGCCATGACGACCGCATCTGCGACCAATGCCGCCACTGGCGCCCTCACCAACTCCTCTGAATCTGCCTTGGCCCCAGCGTTCAACATCCCGCCGTACGCCACCATCTCCGTCAAGTCCCACGTGCCAATCACCCTCGACCTATAGCACCCCAACTACACTCGCTGGTCAGCCTTCTTCCTCTCCTTGTGCGGCAAGTTCGGGCTTTGCTCGCACATTGACGGCACGGCGGCATCGTGTCCTGATGACCCCGCGTGGGCGACGGCCGATTCCTGCGTCCACAACTGGCTCATGACCGCGGCCAAGGATGGTGTCCTCGACCTCCTCGCCTTCGAGCCCAATCAAACTGCTCGGCAGCTCTGAACGGCGATCGTAGGCCTCTTCCACCCGAACAAGGCATCCCGCGCTGTATTCCTCATCCACGAGTTCCACTCCATGACTCAGGGCGATCTCTCTATCGACGCGTACTGCCAAAAGATGAAGGCCACCGCCGACGACCTTCGTGACGTTGGTCATACCATCATCGACTCGCAGCTTGTCCTCAACCTCCTGCGTGGCCTCAACCCTCGCTTCTCTAGCACCGTCGACAACATCGCCGATTCCAACCCGCTACCCAACTTCGCCACGGCACGTGAGAAGCTGGTGCTCAAGGAACTCCACCTCGCCAATGAAGGGCACGCTACGATGCAGACGACCCTCTATGCAGGGTCACCCTCCTGTGGCTCGGCTTGCCGTTCGACGTCCTCCGGAAGTGGCAGCAGTCACAACGGTGGCGGCTACGGCCGCTCCGCCAGCGGCGGTGGCGGCCCATGCAACAAGTGCGAGGGTCGCGGCGGCAGTCCTTTCCACGGCGGCGGTCGCGGCGCCACACCACCGGCTGGCCCCTGGGTCTGCTTCAACCCTTGGGGCAGCCAACAGCCACAAGGACGCCCCCCAGTTCCCCAGCCGGAATGGCGTGCCCCAGGCGTCCTCGGCACCTACCCGCAGGCACACACCGCCTTCGCGCCGACGCAGTACTCCGACATCACCACCCCTCCACCTGCTGCTTCCCAGCAGGGCGTCGCCGCGTGGAATCAAGCTGGCATCATCGCCGCCATGAACCAGCTGGCCCTCTTGGACTCCAACCCCTGGGTTCTCGACACCGGCGCCACTGCTCATATGTCGTCATCGAATGGTATACTCCCCTCCCGCCTCCCTCAATCTGAGTCCTCCATCACCGTCGGTAACGGTAGCACCATTCCCATTTCCTGTCGTGGCACATCCACCTTGTCGACAGCTGACACCACCTTTCATCGTAATAATGTTCTTATCGCTCCTGCCCTTGTGCGGAATCTTCTCTCTGTTCGCCAATTTACTCGCGATAATTCTTGTTCTATTGAGTTTGATGCTTTGGGTTTTTCTGTTAAGGACCAGCAGATAGAGCGCGTGATTCTTCGCAGCGATAGTAGCGGGGACCTCTCACCATCTCTCCGTCACCACCCCACATCTGCAGCCTCGCCACCTCGTCCACATTATGGCACCACCGCCACACTAAATAGTCTGTCAGTCATTTCATGTAATAAGCAGTCGCACTCTCTGTCACACCTGTCAGCTTGGCAAACACACGCGGCTCCCCTTCAGTAGTTCCACCTCCCACCACCACTACAGCTTTTGAGTTGATTCATTGTGATGTATGGACATCCCTAGTACTCAGTACGTCAGGATACAAATAATATCTTGTGATGCTTGACGATTACACTCATTTTTGTTGGTCGTTTCCTTTACGCCACAAATCTGATGTACACCACCATATTGTTGAGTCCATTGCCTATGCTAACACGTAGTTCAACGTCACACCGCGGTCATTTCAGGCTGACAATGGCACTGAATTCGTCAATCATGCTACCACCAGCTTCCTCTCCGCCCACGGTATCCAACTGCGCCTCTCATGCCCCTACACCTCTCAGCAAAATGGCAAAGCTGAACGCATGCTCCACACCATCAACAACACAATTCGCACCCTGCTGATCCACGCGTCCATGCCGCCACCCTATTGGGCTGAAACCCTAGCTGCCGCCACCTTCCTACTCAATAGGCGCCCTTCCGCATCTGTTCATCACGCCATCCCCTACCAACTCCTGCACCAGAAACTTCCCGATTACTCCTCCCTTCGCGTCTTCGGGTGTCTATGCTATCCAAACCTCAGTACCATGACTCCTCACAAACTCGCCCCTCGATCGACTCCGCATGTGTTCCTCGGCTACCCGTCCTCCCATAAGGGGTACCGCTGCCTGGACATATCCACTCGTCGTGTCGTAGTGTCTCGACATGTCGTCTTCGATGAGTCAGTCTTCCCATTCGCTATGGCTGCCTCGTCGGCCTCTGTGACGTCGTCACTAGATTTTTTTATGCAAGGTCTTTCTTCACCGTCGCCTTCAGGCGTCGAGCGCCCGTGTATACCTACGACTGCTC